GAAGAGTGAGTGTGTCTTACTTCAGTGTAGAATGTAAGGAGCTAATGACTTGCAAAGTGTAATGCATTGTTAAGGCCACGCTTTTGTAATTTTATGTTTCATGGATTTATTCCAGCTTTTTTATTTATTTATTTATTTATTTATTTATTTATTTATTTATTTATTTATTTATTTATTTATTCCTGATAGTAGACATGAAATTTATATAAAATAATAACATTTTATATTGTATAAGAGGGTCTATGTTACTAGTAGGAGATATAAATAGTAAAAAAATATTTTGATTACTTTATTTCTTAGAATTTCTTCTCTTGAAACGTAAAAAAGAAAACATCTGTCCAAATAAGAGTCTTGGAGTCTACATTAGCCAAGATAGTCCTTTACTTCATTTGAAACAGAATTTTTTTGGCCAAAAAATATATAACTAACATAAATGTTGTTACTGCGTTCATTGTATTGTGTTGCAACCCAGTCAGTGAAGTGAAAATAGGAACATTTACCAACAGTTAGCACCTCTGAATACATCATGGCAATATTCCTGCCATGACAGTGACCTTGGTTCCAAGGTGGACATGTAAGCGTTAAAGTACAGCCGGGCTATTTCCTTGAGGATATTGATTAAAAAATCTCTTTTGAAGTATTAAGAATCATAATACAGCATGCAAGCAATATTTTTTTTTTTTTAAAGTACGAGCAAACTTTTTACATATTTTACAGATGAGCCTGTCCTTAATTGCCTCCGTGATCTAGTGGTAGATTGTCCGCCCGGAGAGCAGAGGTCCGGGGTTCGATCCCGGCCACGTCATACCAAAAGACGTTAAAAGATGGTCCTTGTTGTTACCCTGTCTGGCGCTCGGCATTAAGGGGCTAAAACAAGGACTGGTCGGCTCGGAGACAGTATACTGTATCTGAGTGAGGTATTCATGTTAAACTGCGGCATGGTATCTCAGTGAGCTAGCACTATAATTCGGCATCAGTCCGGACTAGTACAAGCAGCCACACACACACGTGCATGCACATCGCTATATAAGTGCAATAATCTTGGACGCGATGTTAAACCCCATTTCACCTCACCTGTCCTTAATAATTAGTTTAGAATGCTTATCTTCATTGAAATTGATAAACAATTGGGTGGGTGTGCTGCAATCTTTTAGTTAAAAGACTTTAAAATTTTAAGGTTTTGGTTTATAAAAAATGTTGTTAAATGGGATTTGAAACTAGGAAATCTTCAGGATTTTTAACCCGAAGGAACACTTTTAGAAGTATCTTTTGTTTTCACGTTCATATTCTTTGTGTGAAGAGTGTGATGACGTTTTTGTAAAATAACTGATTTAGTCGATTTGCTCCACATTCTGCTAAAATGCAGGTTCTGTTGTCATGGAAGAATGATGGCATTGTATTACGTCATCCCATTGTTCCAGAGTGATGTCACAGCAGTGAGAGTTCAAGCGGAAATTGAGTCTATGGAGGTCTTTTGTCACTTACAATGTGGATAAACTAATTTGCAGGTTTCATCATTCATAGTTGTTGTTATTGAATATTTGATGTGTGGAAATTAAAACATTTGAAAGCTGTGGCTACTTCTGTCAGATCTGAATGAGATATCTGAGCATCAAGAACACAATAACAACAAATCTGACAACAAATAATGTTTACATCATAAATATGTTTATTTTTAGCATGTGTGATTTTTTTTCTAAAGAAAAATTGATCTCAAATTATCCAGGAAAACATTTTGTTTTGTTTTGTTATGCCTCCTGCATTTTGTCATATTTGTAAAGGATATCTGTTATTTAAGAAAAAATGGCGTCAGAAAAGAGATTCAATTTGAGACATTTGAGCTATTTTTGTTGTTTTTTATGCGGTTTATGATTTTGGACAATGTAATAATCACATAATATCATGGTGTCTTGTCGGAATCCGGCCTTAGAAGCAGCAGCGGTAGTTATAGTTGCCATATTAAATAGCAACAAGGAAATTAGTGTCTCCACTGTACGGATTCTAATTGTTTTGATTAATCTCAGTAGTAGTCAATTGACTTGTCACGTCATGCTTGTCACTTAACCAATCATCTGTCAGTCGAGATCATAATTGACCAATCAAAGCTTTTGATACTGGCATGTAATTGACCAGGTAGGACAGGTTGCTATGGTAACTGGACATTTTGGTGTCCAACTGGGCAGCTTCTGGGCTAAAGGATGACTCATTCATCTCAATATAACTTTCACACACCTACCCTCTAAGAGCATAATGAACTCCTCCAATATCTGATTTGGTCAGTGCTATTATTGATTAGAGGGTGTTAGTACTTTTCTAGTGGCAACAGTTTTGGTGGCTTTAGGTGATGTAACATTACCAGCTCACCTCAGTCCAGAATGCTTTGATGTTCAGAAAGTCTCTCTTTTATGGATAATTAGAGACCTCCAAAAAAGGAATTTATTCATATCAGATATTTTATGGCTCATCATAAGGCAAATTGTGGCTATTAAGAAATCTCAATGCCAGTGGTATGCACATTTTCTGACATATCCTATCTTTGAAAGAAAACATTACTACAAAATCTAGATCATCTGCATTCATTGAGGGGAAAATGTGAAGTGATGTGTAAATGAGGAAAATGTCATGCACATGTTGTTGTTTTATGTACTGGTGGTATTCTTTCATCGTTTACCCCTTGATCATAGTTTATGTTTCTAGGCTGGGGAAATAAGCCTCACCTTGCCTGTGCATGGATCTTGATAGTTAGTCTCTCAGAGGTTATCTCCCTTGTTTTCAGAAATTTATGAATATATTAATTTGTCATCATTTTTCGATCAAGGCACTGTGTTATGACGGTTCCATATTATTCTTCAACATTAAAAATAATTGGAGAAACCTTCAAAAGAGGATATTTTGTTTGGTTTGTTGTGGCTTTATTTGAACTTGTGATTATCAGTTATTACAATTCGGATCAGGGATGAATGATCAAAAGCTCTGCAATGAAAGCTGAGCAAAACATAATGAAAGTTTGAATATTTTGTTGATAAAGTATCATGCGAGAAATCCTTTGATGAAGACATTAGTCATCTCAAAACTCTGTTTGATGTAAAATGTTCTTCTAATGTGATTTTACAAGTGCTTCTTTCATTTTTAGTTGACCACACAGGGAAACCACATTAGTTCTCTTTTAACTCGATGTGTTGTTTCTGTTGAAGTAGTTGTATTGAAACAGCGGGATGCTTATCACACCAATTGTCTTATAACGGTCTAGAATTCTGGATTACTCATAATTTTCATGGTTCCCAGGAATTAAGTGTTTACTGTTGTCAAATTTTACTGAAACTAAATTCATTATATTTTTCGTAATAAACTCTCATTTTTTTTCCTTTTTTAAAAGATACATTCAGCCTTTGAAAGTTGTGCTAGTCCACTAGCCCAAGACTACTAAACTGTGCTGAGGAAAATCCAATCTTGTTAGCCCTCATTCCCACTTGGCTATAATTCTGAACCAGTTTTCAATGCTTTAATTTTGCTTCACATCAGAACTAAATAAAACTGACAGAAAATGTAAACATATTAAACATTATTGTCTTGTTGCTGCAGGATTAGCGTCAGACTAAGGGCGTGTGAAATAAGGATTACGCTATTCCACTGGACAAATTTCTTAGACTGTACATTACTTTACCATGCTTGTGATAACTGCTTCTTACTCTAAATTAACCACTGACACACATGTTGACAAGCACCTGCCTGACTGACACACAAGTAAAACAAGCACCTGTCGGACTGACATACATGTAAACAAGCACCTGCCTGACTGACACACATGTGAAACAAGCACCTGTCGGACTGACATACATGTAAACAAGCACCTGCCTGACTGACACACATGTGAAACAAGCACCTGTCGGACTGACATACATGTAAACACAAGCACCTGCCTGACTGACACACATGTGAAACAAGCACCTGTCGGACTGACACACATGTAAAACAAGCACCTGCCAGATTGACACACATATAAACAAGCACCTGCCTGACTAACACACATGTAAACAAGCACCTGCCTGACTGACACATGTAAACAAGCACCTGCCTGACTGACACATGTAAACAAGCACCTGCCAGATTGACACACATATAAACAAGCACCTGCCTGACTAACACACATGTAAACAAGCACCTGCCTGACTGACACATGTAAACAAGCACCTGCCTGACTGACACATGTAAACAAGCACCTGCCAGATTGACACACATGTAAACAAGCACCTGACTGACTGACACACATGTAAAACAATCACCTGCCTGACTGACACACATGGACACAAGCACCTGCCCGACTGACACACATGTACACAAGCATCTGCCTGACTGACAACCATGTAAAACAATCACCTGCATGACTGACACACATGTAAACAAGCACCTGCCTGACTGACACACATGTAAAACAAGCACCTGACTGACTGACACACATGTAAAACAATCACCTGCATGACTGACACACATGTAAACAAGCACCTGCCTGACTGACACACATGTAAACAATCACCCGCCTGACTGACACACATGTGAAACAAGCACCTGCCTGACTGACACACATGTAAACAAGCACCTGCCTGACTGACACACATGTAAAACAAGCACCTGCCTGACTGACACACATGTAAACAGGCACCTGCCAGACTGACACACATGTAAACAAGCACCTGCCTGACACACATGTAAACAAGCACCTACCTGACTGACACACATGTTAACAAGCACCTGACTGACTGACACACATGTAAACAAGCACCTGCCTGACTGACACACGTAAAACAATCGCCTGACTGACACACATGTAAACAAGCACCTGCCTGACTGACACACATGTACACAAGCACCCGCCAGACTGACACACATGTGAAACAAGCACCTGCCTGACTGACACAGGTGTAAAACAAGCACCTGCCTGACTGACACAGGTGTAAAACAAGCACCTACCTGACTGACAACCATGTACCTGCCTGTTGCAGTGGATCCTGCAGTCTGGTGATGTCAACTGGGGATGGGGTCAAGGCGGTTCACTCCATGGGCACACAGTTCCACCTGACTGTCAACCATGTTCAAGGTAGTATTACTCACTCTGTAAACCACGAGGTTACTGCTCCATCAAACTATCAATCTGTGTAGTGAAACCTCAGGGTTTAAGAAGTTGGACTTTTGTGTATGTGTTCCAATTGCTTCAAGATTTCCTTAAAGAATCCTGATTTCATTTTAAACATGGCCACCATGGTGGCCATTTTGAAAATGTCATTATTGCCCATTTCTCACAGTTTTTTCATTTTTCATCATGAAATGTAATAGCAGCAAGTAAACTGCATGGGCGGATACAGAGGGGGGGGGGGGGGGGTGTGCACCCCCCCTTTTTATTTCGAAAAAAACTATTATTTCTGTATAAATTACCACCAAAGACAATAAATAGATCTTAATTGTGCACCCCCCCCTTTTAAAAAAAGCTGTATCCGCCCATGAACTGTATGTGGGATATCACAAATGCATTTTATGGGGCATGAGGATTTATTCCCTAACTGTGGCCTCTGTAGGTTATATACATCTCCAGTCAAACCTCGTTATCGTACCAATATATCTCGAAACCTATTCTCTGGGTCCCGACTGCCTCACAATATAAATACATATTAATTTGGCCGCTTATCTCGAATTTGAGATAAATGTACTTTGCACTATCTCGAAACTAGGACTGGATCTGCAGAAGTGTGCACCTTTATCTCAAAGATGACATTGTCACATTAACAGTTTTGAGAAGTGCAGGTATATCTAGTACCTTTCCCACACATCTAACGTCGCTGTAAAAGTACAGAACAATTTAAACCAATTGTTGCTCAACCAATTACCGTATTCTACGTAATAAGCGCCCTGCTCTAATAAGCGCTCTCGGTGATATTTGCTAATGTATTGGCGAGTGAACAATCCCAATTAGCACACCTTCAGATTGATCAATGTACACAAGACTTATTCATTCGCGTATGCCAGTAATACGCACTCGTGTGTTATATGCAACCTTAATTATGGGCAATTAAATTCTTGAAAAATATATCTGTCGTACATAAACATTTCAGGCTGTCAGCATAAACCATGAAATTTATCTTTCAACTCTGTTTTTTTTCCACCAAAATAATATTCTAATAAGAGCCCACTATTTCTAATTTTGAGTGCGCCCTGGGCCCTATGGCAAATACGGTATTTACCTATCTTTTAATCCAATTGTAATGTAATCTTTATTGACAACTAGAATATTGTGAGTAGACGTGAGTACAAACACTTCCTGGTTGCTCAGAAAAGTGACTATCAAAGTCGGATTCAAGGAATCAAAGCCGTATGACACTACTCACACTGTCCATGCTGTGGGACGTGGGGTAGCCTAGTGGTCAAAGCGTTGGCTCGTTACGTCATTCCCCACATGGGTACAATGTGTGAAGCCCCTTTTCCGGTGTCCCCCGCCGTGATATTGCTGGAATATTTCTAAAAGCGGCTTAAAACCATACCCACTCACTCAAGTTGTGGGAGTGGCATTTTGTTTTCGTCGAGTGGACAGACTAAACAGGGATTACTGCTATGCCTAACGTGCATGTACTGGTGAGAGCTGCGGTTAGTTAGTTGGTTTGTTTGTTGTTTAACGTCGCACTCAGCAATATTCCAGCTATATGACGGCGGTCTGTTAATAATCGAGTCTGGACCAGACCATCCAGTGATTGACATCATGAGCATCGATCCACGCAATTGGGATCGATGACATGCATCAACCAAGACCCCTAAGGTACATGTACACCGTACAAAACTTGTCACAGTTATTAATTATTATAATATTTATTGTTACATTTATTATTAATCATAGTCAGCAAAATACATTTCAGTTTGTCATCCCATGCTGTTCTAAATTTCTATTGCTATGTGTCGTGATCTGTCAGGGTATTAATGCATCTTCATGTCAAATGTCCAGATATCTCAAAATTACAAAATGGTCCTGCTAGGTTCGAGATAACAGGGTTTGACTGGATTTATCAAGATTTACTGATTATTTTCGACGTCTGCACTGTCAAGATGACATTTTGTGTATGTGAACCCAGCAAAGGTGTCTCTGGATGTGCTCACAATATTAGGATTTGATCTTTAACATGACTTTCATATTGAAAATGTCATATTGGGCCAATTAATCAGCCATTTCTGCTTCTATGTTTATGAAACATTCATGTTATTTTGGTGTATTGAAACAGCGATTAGCTGCGAAGTTTCTGATGGGGTGTTAAAATATATTTACTCTCACTCACTCACTCACTCACTCACTCACTCACTCACTCACCAACCAACCCAGTTTTATAAAAATGAAGGTGAGCTACATAGCCTTATGGGTTTTTTTCTATGGACATTCTCAGATCTGTATTATCTGTTGTAGCCTCCAAGGATGCTGCTATGGAGTTCATGTTGAGCACCCCAGTGAGGGAGAGAGGGAAGCTGTGTGTCACATACGCCATGGACAGTTCGGTCATCAGAGTGAGACACCTTCATCTTGAGACACCTGCTGGAACACCTGACTGAGGCTCTGACAGCTGTGTGTCACATGCGGAGTGGGCAAGCGGTCAAAAGCGCCAGGTGCTGAGATCGTATCCCGCTAGTGACTGGGTTGTTATTCAGCCTTGGGACTAACAATGTTTACAGGTCTTAACAGTGTTGCCACTACCCCTAGTGTACAGTACACACACCCTGTTTATTTAAAAGAACCCACTTGTCCGATGGTAGACGGCAGATCACAAGTGTCAAAATGTGTAGTGTCACTATGGGCAAGTGACTTAGTTCAAATGTACCTCTGTTCAACCAGCAGGGATTGGGTACCTGACATGTGAGGTGGATAAAAAAACCTTCTTGCGTCCCTAGGCAGCTTGGTTGTATACTCCCCAGGGAGGTAAGAATGATAGCTGGGATGCAAATGGATCCACTGGTTGGGGAACAAATAAAACCGAACTTGAGATTCCGGGGTAGAATAGGTCTTCAGCAACCCATGCTTGCTGTAAAAGGTGACTATGCTTGTCGTAAAAGGCGACTAACGGGATCGGGTGGTCAGGCTCGCTGATTTGGTTGATGCATGTCATCGATCCCAATTGCGTGGATCGATGCTCATGATATTCATCACTGGATTGTCTGGTCCAGACTCGATTATTTACAGACCACCGTCATATAGCTTGAATATTGAATAGTGCGGCGTTAAACAACAAACAAACAACAACTTGGATACCTGCGATATATAAATGTATAATATAAGAACATATAATTTAATAACATGCACCATGGACTGTTTGTCTTCAGAGTGAGACTCCTGCTGGAACACCTGACATGTTGTCAGGGAACAGTGACTTCGGCAATGTGACGAGATTGGAAAACTAATAGTAGTAAATGTTTTCCTTACTGTAAACCCCACACTGTTTTACACCAAGTATGTGAACAATGTATTGGTATGTAAATGAACTTGAGTGAGTGAGTATGGTTTTACGCCTCTTTTAGAAATATTCCAGCAATATCACGGCGGGGGACACCAGAAATGGGCTTCACACATTGTACCCATATCAGGATTTGAACCCGGGTCTTCGGCGTGACGAGCGAACGCTTTAACCACTAGGCTATCAGACCGCCCGTAAATGAACTTGACGGCTGGGAAGTTGATTGTTGTGGTAATTAAGCACTGAGTTGAAGTCTGACATCTTTGCAGACATGGTGCTCTTGGTCTGTTTTGGAGAAGGTATTGACGGTCTTGTATAACACTCATCCTGTTTGTTAATATCAGATAGATAGATAAATAGATAAATAGATAGATAGATAGTAAGGTTTGTTCCAGATATTTAAGAAATAAACAACGAATGGGAGTTGCTTATCGTACAATAAAACACTTCAGGGAGAATAAACCATGAGTGGAGTTTAATTCTAATGAGATTTCAACATTACCCATAGCCTCTTGAGTGAGTGAGTGAGTATGGTTTTACGCCGCTTTTTGCAAAATATTCCAGCAATATCACGGTGGGGGACACCAGAAAGGGGCTTCACACATTGTACCCATGTCGGGAATCGAACCCGGGTCTTCGGGGTGACGAGCGAACGCTTTAACCACTAGGCTACCCGACCGCCCTATAGCCTCTTGAAGGATGTTAGTTAAAGTACAATCTTTAAGAATATTTTCCCGTATTTAAATAATGATGACTCCCTGAATAGAATCCAGCTGCAGCAATGTCGGACAAGTCCATTTTATGAACAGGGGGTGGTAAATTTGGTCTTTCATTCATATTCTCACAATTTTCACGTCAATAATCTGTACCGATTGTCATACTTCTCCCATTTTTGGAAGCGATCGTTTGGCCATTGCATTTATCTACGTTGCCTAGATACATCTCTGAGAAACAACTCACTACACACTTCCCTCTCAAAATAATAACAAATTTACATCATCCAGTTGCGTGCGCATGGTCAAATCTACAGAAATGACGTCATGATAGAACAATGTTTTGTTGTGAAATAAACCATGCTTCATTCTTCTTTGGGAATTATCACATAGCTATCTTATGTTGTTAGATACCATGAAATTATAAGTGTAATGAATGGCTGACTTGATGCGACACTGTGTTGAGTCTTACATGTGTATGAAGAAATGCAAAGTGGACAAACATGAGTCTGTCAAGGTGAAAGTCCATTCATGTGATTCAAAGAATACTGTTGGTGTAACGTCTCTTTTCGGGAAATGGAAAATAAAATAGATTGTGTGAATTGATATGCTGTCCTGTTTCTCTTTCAAGCTCATCTTGAAATCGTCAAAGTGCCCTTAGGTCGATCGATTGTTCTTCCAAAGTTTGAAAGCAACATGTACAATGGTTTTACAGGAGAAGGGGTTGACACAAAGGGGTAGTCTTCACTCAAAATGTTGCAGCAGCCATTTTGAATTTGTGAAAATCAGAAGAATACTTTGTTGTAGCCAGGGAAATGTTGAACATATACTGAGTCAAATTAAAAACTTCACATTTTTAAAAGTAATCCCATATATGATATACAACAGACAAATGTATCAGAGAAGGTTATTTTTAATCATTAATGTCCAAAGAAGGATTTTAATTAACGGTGGTAACCATAATTTGTTCCAAGCACCTACGGTATTCGGTAATAACATCAACAGTTTAAATCATAAGTCCCAAGCACGAGAATCTGATGGCACACAAGTTCAGTAGCATGTATGGCCACCATGTGCGTTGACAACTGCCACACAACGCCTCTGCATGGACCTTGTGATGCTTGTGAACACATGATTGGGAAGACGACGCCATTGTTGCTGCAAAATGGTGCCATGATCTTGCAAATTCTGTGGTTGGTTCTGGAGAGTGCGCAGACTTCTGCCAAGATCATCCTAGACATGTTCGATAGGATTGAGGTCGGGAGACCTTGACGGCCAGTCCATGACATTCTGGAGGAAATTCCTTGTCAAAATTGCTGTGTGGGGTCTGGCATTGTCGTGTTGGAAGATCAAACCGGGTCTATGTGCTGCCATAAAAGGCAGAAGTTCTGGTGCCAGTACCTGGTCGCGGTAAGCAGCAGCGTTGAGGTTGCCACGGATGACAAGAAGCCTGGAAGGTGCATTGCCACAGAAAGCACCCCACACCATGTCACTTACGCCTCGAAATCTGTCAACTTCCTGTACACAACACTGGGCGTAACGTTCATGACGGCTCTTCCACACCCTCGGCCTACCATCAGCAAATCAAAGATTAAATCGGGATTCATCACTGAAGACAATTGATTCCATCGTAAGTGTCGCTGTGCCCACAATTGACATTGACGTCTGTGTAATTGAGTCAGAATCGGCCCACAGTATGGCCGTCTTGCTTGAAGGTGAGCAGTTCTCAGGCGGTTTCGAACAGTTTGCGCACTCAGTCTACCCCTAAACAGTTCATTTCTGGTTGATGTAGCGGTCAAAAATCGTTTACGGAGGTGACGTAAGACAATCTGACGATCCTCTGCATATGACGTCACACGTGGTCGACCTGGCCGAGGGCGATCAGCGGTGGTACCCGTTTGCTGTAGACGCGTCTGTAAATCATAAACAGTCCGTCGATTACAACCCATTGTCCTTGCGACTTCAGCTACGGACGTTCCCGTCTGCAACATGCCGATGGCACGTTCACGTTGCAGATTTGAAAGGCGTGGCATGACAAATAGCCGTAAAGACTTGTTTTCTTGTGTTTTTCTAGCAAGTATGGCTGAAAACTAGTGCGGTATTATGGCCACGTGACCAGTTGCACGTGAAAAACTACTTTTGCCACTATAGTGCTGTGCACATGATTTTGATCGATTCACCTGCACAAAAACGGGTGTTATCTGAAGACAATACGTGGCCATTACTGTTTATAAACACAATAAGGGCCCACAATGATAACTGGTTAAAATTTTAGGATTGTGAAGTTTTTAATTTGGTTCAGTATATTATGTTGAAGTGTTACTGATAACAGCAGATTTGAAGAAGAAGATCAGAGTTGAAGTCCAGTACTAATGGATGGATGGTTGACAGGTGACACATGGCATAAGCTCACTACAAAGCCACTACAGGCTGGTTTTGCTGGCACATTTTCGCCCTTATTCAAGGGAGAAACATTTCCCCACAAAAACGTCAATTGAATTTGGTAATAAAAGTGAAGAGTAAGGATCTGTTTCTGTGAAGATAAGTCTTACACTTCTTTGAAAATAACATGAATCATTTGAAAAAAGTGATGTATTTTACAAATATATATACATTTAAAAATGTCATACATTTGTGTTTCATATACTAGTATATATCAGGTACATTTATATCAATGTCATTAATAGATTTGAAATTAAGATATATTAAATATATCTACATAATATACAGTATTTATATTTGTACATTATTATATAAAGCTGAAATAGAGATCACAAAAAATGTCATGAATTGAATATATATTGTATCATAAATAGGTTATGGAAATACATCTTGGGGCTGTTAGCAGCTGTGACACATCACAGTCCTTGTAACATGATTTCTATGCTTCCAGGGACGGTCGGGTAGCCTAGTGGTTAAAGCGTTCGCTCGTCACACCGAAGACCCGGGTTCGATTCCCGACATGGGTTCAATGTGTGAAGCCTATTTCTGGTGTCCCCCGCCGTGATATTGCTGGAATATTGCTAAAAGCGGCGTAAAACCATACTCACTCACTCACTCTATGCCTCCAACATAGAGGTCAGCCGGAGGGGAATTGTCTGGAGGTGTGATGGAAGCTGTCCCCTGCAGTCCTACATGCAGAGTGAGAAGCTGTACCTCTCGAAGCTCGCCATGGATTAGTCCGCCAAGAGGGGCTCCAACATGGTTGATCCTGTGATGCCAACCACAGAAATAGTTGGTTGGTCTGTTGTTTAACGCCGCACTCAGCAATATTCCAGCTATAAGACGGCGGTCTGTAAATAATCGAGTCTGGGCCAGACAATCCACTGATTCACATCATGAGCATCAATCCATGCAATTGGGAAACGATTATGTGCATCAACCAAGTTAGCGAACCTGACCACCCGATCCCGTTAGTCGCCTCCCACGACATGCAAAGTGGCCTATTAGGGCAAGCAAGGGTTGCTGAAGACCTATTCTATCCCGGATCTTCATGGGTCACAGGATTGTTATCTTCCCGAGGCAAGAGATTTAACTGACTTTGAAAGTCCAGTTTCCACGTGGAAACTGGACTTTTATAGTCAGTTAACTCACTTGTCTCGGGAAGATGCAGGATTGTTGGAAACAGTTAATTTATGTATTTCTACTTCTGTGTACATGTTTGATAATGACACTTGAACCTGCACCCAAACGTCCCATAGAGAAGCTGAAATCCATGCCATCTGTCTTCATTGATGCCACTTACATGTACAGGTTAAAGCTAAGGTGATCTGCCAGTCCCTGATCTTAGTGAACAGGCTGTTAATCAACTGCTTCGCCATGTAGTTGACCAATATCCTATGGGGAACAGTCGGCAATTTTGTCAAACATCTTGGGGACTTTTGATTGTAGTAGGAAGGGCAGTTCCACCA